GCCCCCATTTGTACACCGGGGGAATGTATGATATGAGTTGTATGATTTCGATCTTCAGTATGCAAACTCATGTTGTAAGACGTCTGTGACGTGATATAGCTAATCTGAAATAGGACAAAAGATTAGGGACCATGGCACAAAGTTATCAACTCGAATCCAGTTGTTTTACTAAAAGCAGTTCCTTTTAAACATTTTACTTTTAATTAAGGAAGATACCCACAGTTCTCAGCTGAGAATAGGTCAAAATTCCATTTGGGGCCGGAAAATATATCTTGTAGCAAGAGATTCTGAGCTAGAACTTTAAAAAAAACAAAATTAAAAAAGATTAGAAAAACAAATAAAAAAATCAAAAAATTTCAAATTTTTTGTGCAAAATATTTAGCTTTTTGTTGTTTTTTGATTCGCAAAATGGCAACAAAAATCTTTAAAAATTAAATTCAAGCAGGTAGAATCCAAATTAGGCATGAAAAAGTCGCTCTAATATTGATGAAAATTCAAAGGTTTTGAACCGGTTATTCTCAACACTTGGAAAACTTTTTCGAAATTTTTTTTAATGTCGTTCGGATCACCACCAAAAAGCTCTAAAACCATACACAATTCTACCCAGTCCAATGATTAATAGTGGTACCTGATTTTTTATGTGAAAAATAAAAATTAAACAAATACTAAAACACACCCGAAGACAAATTTCCTCCCCATTTTCTATGGTCGGAACAAAAACTTTCTGTTCGCTGAATTGGTGAAATTTTGTGCAGAAATTGATAGCAAATTTAGCAGAAAGAGACTACTTACAATCTCTAAGTTTCCTGGTGATCATATCTAAATGAGTTGTTCAATTTTCGGATTTTGACTATTATGAGCATATTTTAAGTTCTACTCGCTCCGCTCGCTTTGCACTTATCGGTTTTTCATTGATCTTGGGTTGAGTTTCTGGATTTTTTAATCCCATTTGAATCACGACTGAAAAGTCTCCAATATGGTATATCACTCCATCATTTGTGGTACCTGCGTCAAACATCCAAGCAAAATATCCACTCCATTTTCAATGATGGAAACAAGAGCTTGTATTTAGTTGTAAAAAAATATTTTTCTCCGTTTTTAGGTTGAGGTTAAATTTAATATTGCAAACTTTTTAATCAAGTGTTTCACCTGCAAACTTGAACAAAAAGTCATAGTTTTTGAGCGTTCTCTGTTAGTATTTTACATATGATAGACGGAAGAATCCTGATGGATGAAGCGAATCGTAGAAAACGAGTATCATCGAAGAAGAAATAAGTGTTCAAAAATGTAAAATCAAAATAGTTCTAGGCACTATAGGCGATTGGGAGGTTGTATAAATTCACATTTGGCTAATTTTTTCTCAATTTTCTTTTTAAGGTATTAAGCAAACAGAAACATAAAACAAATCTTAATGATTGAGATTGGTTGAAAATTTTCAACCACTCGGCTTTGCTTTTTTTAAATGAAAATATCACCCAAAACAGAAGAAATGATTTATGATGGAGGGGGCGAGTGATGGAAAAAATATCAAACAACCGAAACAAATTATTCAAAAATCTGAAAACAATGCGTATATATCAAAGAAAGGGAGAAACTTAGGGCAATAAAATCAATAGTGCAATGATATCAAAGTGATTAGGAAAAAAGTTGATTTGATAAGTGCTATGAGTTTGTAAGAAATGAAACACAAACTAATCATGAAAACGCCTTGTGGTTATCAGCGCAAAACAAAGTCACTAACAGACCTCAGGAAGATTTTTAATTTTTCTCATTCTGTTAGTTTTGTTTCGGTTTCTGCAAAAATTAGTTGACGATTGAGAAGTTGTTAGGACTACCGAAGGTTTTGATTGATTGAAAAATTGCAAAATTTGGGCAAGCCATGAGCCTAAACGTCTAATCAAGGAAATTCTTATGATGGAAGGATTGAAAGATGGAAACTGATACAATCCAGTCAAAACTGAGTACTAAAAAATCTGAAAAAGAGCAAATAGATCCAAAAAAATTTAGGGCAAGGAGAAAAATATTGGCCGATTTTAAAGTCAACCAATATGGTCAATATTTCTACATCAGTCGTGAAGCGTGTGAAAAATTTACCAGAATTGAGACAAAAACCGACTGGTAGTAATTGGCGAGGTGCACCAACGAGCGAAGCAGCCCATCATCAGGCCACTGGAAAGTTGGAATGATCCAAGTTTCGATTAGCTTTTCCGTAAAAATAATCAGCTAACAGAAAAGGGGAGCAGTGGTGAAGTGGTTACGTCTCCGCCTCTCAATCGAATGGTCGGATGTTCGAGGCCCACCATGATCCGTGCTCGTTACTTGAGGGTGAGGCAACATTACCCAGCCCAGCAAAATAACCAAAAAAATTGCAGGTAGTTCTTAAGCAGGGTACAACAGCGGTTCGCCGTGATGAGCTGTACAGTTCGTATGTTGGTCCTATCCTTCGTGGATAAATGATCTTAATTAAAGTGATATTTTTCTCGATACAACTTGTTTCGATTTTCGATATATTTTTCTTACAACTCATTAGCATCATTTGTTCTCTGTATCATTGGTTTAACGCCCTCATCTTGTTAGCATCCAGGATGAGATGTTTGCTTGAGGTTTCTAACTGACCTCACTGTGAAAGTCTATGCTTCGTTCTAATCAACTGAAAACGTTTGTCTTTCGATCACAAAAAAAACCAAACAGTTATACCTCTGCTTTTTGAACTAATAACTCTTTGTGTGCCGAATATTAAAAATGAGGAGTAATGTTGATCTTTAGGGGAATTTTAATTTTTTTAAACATTTTGTTTCCACGCAAAATCAGCTAGCAAAAAAATCAAGTGAGTGAGCCGAGTGCTATATTTTATTAGAAATTCTCAGTCGTGATTCGAATGACATAAATAAACTTCAAAAGATTTTTTCAAACCCTAAAAAATTTGGTTCAAAACTCTGAGTGTTAGTCTAATTTCGAGTAAAGCGAGCAAATAGGTCATACGGTGTTATAATACGTATAATAGTCTAAACTTTTTACTTTCAATTTAGGCTTCAAAAAAATGAAAATCAAGAAAATTTCTGCAAAAAATAAGAAATTTTTTTTGTAAAGAATATTTCATATTAACATCAAATTTAATCAAACTCAAGGCTTTCTTTGAGATCTTTTTTATCACTAAACGAACAAAAATGGACAGAAATTGAAAAAAAAAAATTTCCTTCTTTGTGATAGGATTTTTCTGTGCTATTTCATTTTTCATCCAATTCTGCTACATTCAGAAAATACGATGCTGTGACTTCCTCGACGAACAAAACTTGCTGATTTTTTTTATTGCCGTGTAATTTCTCCTGACTGCTCCAAAAAAATTGACTGCTCCAAAAAATTGACTGCTCCAAAAAAACTGGACGTTAACTGCTCCAAAAAAACTGAAATGAATCGTTTCGATTAAATTACGCATGAATTGAACCGAAGAAAATTTGATGATTTTTTTCAGCGCAAAAGACTTAAAAATGTTTGCTATCGTGTTTGTCTCGTGCAAAAGTTTGGTCAAAGTTTGATTGGAACACATTAAATTGAGCTACATCCTCAAAAAAAAAATTTCGAAAATACCTTAGATTGATTACAAAACTGAATTAACATTGATACGTTTGTAGTTTTTGGTCATTTTCTTTCAAAAATGTGCCTGACTATTTGTGCTTTGCGATGTTTTTTCGGGTCTTATGCGTTAAACGGCCCAAAAATCAAAATTGAAGCAAAATGAAAACTTAAACTGAAACTGATCCTGATTGGTAATATTAGCCAATCAAATTCGGGCAACTAGGTCGGCCATTTCGATTGATACTGAGATTAATCTGATTGCCTCTTATAATATGTAATAACTGAAGTAATTGTATGTTGGTTACGTGTTTTCAATTTGAAATAAAATTTCCGACTATTTTCCTAATTTTGGGCCGTTTAATGCATAAGACCCGTTTTGTTTTTTCTTCCAAAAAGTTTTGTGTTGCCATCTTTAACCAAACCAACTCAATAAAATGACTTTTAGATTTTGGAAACGAATAGACTTATCTGACTTATTGAGAGGCTCCGTAAACGCGGCTCCGTAAAACAGTTACTCGTTCGCTCACTCATTATCTCTTTCGGCTAGATATTGTGAAAACACCAAATAACAGCTAAAATGGCGCAGTGGATTAGGGACTTAACCGGTTTCATACACAAAAAAAGCTAATCATACAATTCCAATAGAAAAAACCTTTTGTACAATTTCATACACAGAGTGTATGGAAAAAATGTGTATCATACAATTTTCCAAAATTGTTTGATAAATAGTTCTTACGTTGCAGCAAAAAAATCCTTGCCGCAAACTATAAGATAAACTTCAAAATGCCAAAAAAATCAGGCTACGATTTTCGACCAGTAAAATTTTTGAGTAAATTTTTTCTTGTCATCCACAAAATTTTGAGGACTCTGTTCATACTTCTGAGTTATCTATAAAATAAATTCTCATAGTTATTGCTCAAATGCCGAATATCTTTGAGCTTTTTGCCTCCAACAAGATTTCTTGAGTTAGAAAATCCCTGGTTTTTGTGTTTTTGGAGAAAACACATCATTATTAAACAAAACTTGAAAATTGACAATTTATTGATTTATGGAAAATGCTAAAATGCTTGTCATATAGTTTTCGTTCATGAAACAATGCTTATCTGAGAGTTTTCTTACAATTTTTTTGTACCTATTTGCACTTTTGGTCAACCCGGGTACAGCTGATTCAAATTGTGGGTATCAATTTTGATGCGCTTGAAATAGATCCAATAATCTTTTGATGTTCTTAAAAATAATTCAACAAGATTTCAAAAAATTACCAAAATTTTCTTCGAACAAATCTCTTGCCCCCAATACTTGACTTTTGGGGTCAAATTTTTAATTTTTTTTGAACAGAACTTTTGTTAGCAATTTTAAATCGTGTTGAATCATTTTTAATAGCAACAAAAGGAGCATGTTGGATTTTTTTTCTGGGAATTCCGAACATAGATCGCGCAAAAGCTTCAACCGCTTCGAATTTACACGAATGCTTCAAAAGTTTTGAATTTAAAGTATCATTCCAAATTTACAATTTATATATTCGAAAACAATTCAAATTGTACAATAAAAAACTACCCATAAAAGGCAGGTTGCCTTATCGGCCCATAAAATACAATAGTTTCGGTTCAAATAAATACACAAATATAAATCATATTTCATTGCATATGCATAAGTCTCAGTTTGAAGTCAATTTCTAGCCATATAAAAGAATATATTTGATTTAAGTGTTGTTCTAGATTTCTCTAGAACTCGGATTATTGTCTAGATCACTCTAGATTTTTCTATACATTTGGAATATTCTAGATTCTTCTAGACTTTTCTAGAACAAGGTAGATTGAGATTATTCTAGAACTAAGTATTGCTGGCTTTCCGATGTCGGAACAGGTTTCTCGTTCAGCGCTCGTACAGCGTCGTCTATGAAAGATTGGCCATGGCTTCGAGAGTCGCTCATAAAAGCGAGCAAACTACAACCTAGCAAAAATATCTGCAAAATGCCAGCTACCAAAAACGGAAGCCAGTATGCCTGGTCGAATAGAGTCCCCCCTATAACACCAGCCAGCCCGTAAAACAAAGTGCACGTCCACTGTTCTAGAGCTACAAGTCGTGCTATGACCGAACCATCGTCGGTTGCTTCTCGGATAACCGAGTACACGGACGAATGCATACAAGTTTTGCCGACGTTCCAGAAAGTGAGCATGAAAAAGCCGAGAAGCGCGTTCGGCATGAAAGGGTACAGGGCGATGAAAACGCCGAGGAGTCCCATAGCTAGAAGAAACTGTTTGCGAGGGTTGACGAAACTTGAAATGAAAGGGTAGATTACGACCGCAATCAGAGGGCAGATCATACTTCGGGTGAAGGCGTCGCTTTTGGCACTGAGCCAGATGTCCTTCAGAACCAGCATGGCCATTGAGTTCGTCACCCCCTCGGTGAAGCCGGAAGCGGAGAAGGAGAAGAGAGTGGCCCAGATGAACATCGGCAGGTGTCTGACAGCTTCTCGAAACGGAACCTTTTCCTCCGTCGTCTCAGTTGTCAAAAGTCGCTCAGAGCTTACCTATAATTTAACAGATAATGATTATGATCTTTAGAAACTGGTAGTTTTTTGTAAGGTGGTGAAGTTATCGAATTAGTATTTCACACACCACACAACATTGCAAAGCTGCCATTGACCTTTTGTGCCGCAGGTCAACTCCTGCGGCACAAAAATTTTGGAGGAGCTCGAAAAATCAGTTTTGCGAATAAAGTAGAAAAAAGTAGAAATCTTCCACATCTTAACAACGACCAAGCGCTTTGATCACTTGCCTCTGTTATAACTAGTTTAAAATACCTTTTCGACGTTGAAAGTGATAGCCATAGCGAGGAGCAGCAACACGACGGTGAACACACAGAGGAAGGACCAGCCGAGGTAGGTGTACATGAATGCGAATATGAGGGTGGTCGCGTAGGACAGTTGTCTGCACATGGAATACGCATTCGCATTCACTGAAGTCTCCGCCTCCGTCTTCACCGGCACTATCACTGTGATCGGCTGGATACTAGTCGCGATTCCTGGAACAAAGTTAGGTATAGGTGTTCTTAAGATCCAAAGGTCACACAGCAGCAGTGAACAGGTCATCCATAACACAAATAGTTCATTTAAAAACGTCTTTATATAACTATAATAGTTCATTATGCAACAATAATTATATTAAATAATTATATCATAAAATTTGAATAACTCTCAGACATATTAGTCGCCAGTCCTGAAATCACATCAGCCATACCTAGTTTTTTGTTACACAATTTTCCTCATCTTTTTTCACCAACTCTACACCACAAACGTAAACTTACCCAGCTTCAATTCGCCGCCCCCACCCCTCTAAACTTTTAAAAATAAACGTGTTAAAAATCTTTCATACAGCAGTTTTCAAAGCATGTCTCGTCAATCTGAACAGCTTTTTTGCGTTTCCTGAATTTAAAGTAATATATGCAAACTTTTGTCTGTACTGATTTTACCCAATCAAATTTCAAATTCAAGGTCATAGTTACTTACCTATGCATGTGAATGCAATGATGAGGACTGTGGTCTCTACATGGCCTGTGTCGATGGCGAATATTCCGAGGAAGCAGCCGATTACTCCGACGGACATCAGCAGCACATGCACATGTCTCCTCCTCTGCGGGAACACAGACAGAATGGTGGCACCTGAAATGGGAACAAAATAGCCAGCCAGACAGAGGCGGGGTCTTTTCTGTTTTCGACCCAAAGTGTGAATATCTGACTTGTTTGACTTAGACGAAATACTGTTTGTAACATTCTTTCATTGCTAGAACAAACGCTTCTTCTCATAGATATTCTCTCCTCTCTTTTTCTTTAGAGGTCAAGGTCATCAATCACACCCAAATATCATTTTTTTTTATATATAGCAAATTGGATATAATCACAATGCATCTTGAGTCTGAATCTTCAATAACTTGTGCAAGGAAATCTGAAGCCTAATTTCAAACATATTATAGATCATGCAACGTTTTGGTAATTTTGGGCTGCATAACTGAAAAAAAAACCAACGAGGTTTTTCGTTATACGGTCCAACGTTCATCTTTTTGGTATCCATTGCGGCAAATTGGATCATAACCAATGATTCTTGAATCTCATTGGATGAAATAAAATAATTACGAAACAAAATCTGAAGCCCAAAACTCAAACGTATTAGCCAGGGGCAGATCTAAGATTTTCTCGAGGTGGATGTTTTTTTAAAGACAGGCTAAAAAAGGCATGTATAGACACTTTTCGGAAAAGTTTGACCAATGAATTGTCTTCTCTTTGGCGTGCGCTCCCCTTAAAAATCCTGTATTCCTGAGAAGGAAGTGTCCAGCCCAGCCCTGATGTTACCTCATTCAACGTTTTGGTAATTTTGGACCGCATTACACAAAAGACCACGGAGGCCAAACCCGGAGGTTAATAATTTAAGGTTGAGCTAGAGTTCAATTGATCACAACACAAGTCCATTTAGCTATGCCTATCTCGGTAAATCAAGCAAAATTAGAGTCAATCTGTTCTCAAAGACTTGACGTCTGTTAAAAAAGATGCGCATAGACAAAAAAAAATAAGTTTCTTTTTGTGCTATTGTCTGCATGAAATACTTGGGAAAGTGCACCGAAGCAGAAACGAAAAACCAAAATTTTCCAATAAACCTTGTGTAACAAGCTCTACAAAAACTTCGATAGTTGCATTGTTGTTCACATGTTTAAAAGCAAATATTTTTTAAACCGAAAACCGAGTAACCGAGTAGTTTTCTTTCAAAACATTTAAATTTGTGGTTTGTGAAAAATCTAAGACTGTAATTTAATTAAAATTGAATTCAAATTGTGATCCTGTATTTTTCCTTATTGCAATTTTTTAATTGTGATCAAGTGTAAGGGTCAAACAGTCTGATAGTTTTTTCAAATTTATATCAGGCTAACTAATTGAAGAAAACATCTCTATCTAGACCCTAAAAATTTGCGGAATAAAAAAAATTATTTGCTACATATATATTTTCGGTTGGTTTTGTTGAGATGCGAGGACAACCCACAGTTTAGTAAAAACATTAGAGCCCCCATAGTTTGATTTTGCTGAAGGGGACTATCATGCGAGACCTTTTTTCAAAATCAGATCAAACTCTGAAAAATAAAGTTGTGTTTTGCTACACACTTCGTATAAATGGCTCGAACTTATAAGAAACCTTGTTGAAAATTTTGAAGACTATATCTAATAATAACTTCGCACACAAAATATTTCATAATTGTTCATGGGTCGTATTATTTTTTTATGAGCTTCAATTATTTAAAAGCCTTTTTTAATGCTCATTATATAATTTTACACTCGTAATACAATTTTTGATAATCACTTTGACAGCGCAAAATTTAAATTTTTTTCAAAAACTTACATTTTCAATTTAGAGGGTAGTCGAAATCTGCAATGAGTATAAGAGGATATGTTGTCCGATAGTATCAAACGATGTTTATTTTTTGTTGTTGTGATCTATTCCGTTGAAAATTTTGATTGCGATTTTTTAAACCTTTCACCTTGAGAACTTGCGTTTCTCATCGCTTTTTTGAGCGAGTAACACAGAATGTTCCGACCATAGTCTTGAAAAAACAAAACAACTTTTTTCAAATTAATGTCGTTTTTTGGCATGCGATGAAATAAGCTGAACAAAAAATTAGAGATTATGCATATTCAACAGTCATTGTAAAATAAGCAAATTAAAAAACATTTTTTATATTAAAATGACTAGAAAAACGAAAAAAAAAATCTAAAATTTTAAAAGTTTTTATAATTTGTTTTTGGTTTTTTGAACTTTGGAAGTGAAACTTGAATACTACAATTAAACGGACACGAAAACACATCGTACGTCGCAGAAAAAATGGGGGGGGGGGGTGAAAAAGCTGGCGAGTTTTTGTCTCGTTTCTATTGCAGTTTTTGTACACAGAAGATGAATCGGATCGTGTTTGAACGGTTCAACTTTAAATTTTGAAAAATGATCACGAAAAAATATTTCAAAAGGTGTTTGTTGTTTTGAAGTATCCCAAAAAAATCACCAAAAATTATCGCCAATAAAAGGTTGTAAATTGCTTTATTGACGGGGGGGGGGGGGGGTAAAATTGTTTTGGGAGAAAATTTTGAGGGGTACAGCATTCAAAAAGTCGCTATATACATATGGAAATGGAATTGACAGACAGTATTATAGGACTAAAATAAGGCTGCTTGTTTTTCATGTCTTATTCAAACTTCATTGACTATTTTATGGAGTGGCTTTACAACATCAAGTGTATAACTTTACATCACCATTGTTTGATTATAAAAGGGCACTAGCTGTGTTATATATTCAAATTAATCACATTACAAATCTGTTTGCAGCGCCCGCCTTTTCCCGCTTCCCCATCTTTGAGGGAAAAATCAATCCCAATTTTGCGCCTTAACCATTTAATGTAATGCTTTGTGATGTGACTAGCTTTATGACCTTTTTAACATAATTCGGCTTCTGTTCCTCCAGCCAACTTACACACAGTTTTGATTTGGTGGTAAGCCGCATAGAATTTGTTATGAAGTTCAAGTTATAAGGTGGCTTAACTATGATGAATGGCAATATCCCTTTAAATCAACAAAATTTCCCCGGCTAAGTACAAAAGAAAGGCAAACAACGTCTTTGATCAAATGTTTACCCCGCTCCTTTTTCTTTGAACGTGATTGACAAAAGCGTTGTGAAAAATTAAAAAAATAACCGAAACACATGATCAGATTCGAAACAAGACTGCTTTGATCAGTACATAGCCTTGAATAGTTTGACCGGATCTACTTAACAATAACCCCCCCCCCCCCCCCCCTATCAAAAGCGGGTACTCGTTAAGTAGATTAAGATAGTCGCATTATTTTCGACCAATCAGAATGCAGCAAAAGTCGAATGTTCAAAAAATGCTCTGCTGCTAATTTACTGTTTTTATTTATTGGGGTGGCAATTCTTCAGTAGATACAAAAGGGGGGGGGGGGAATTGTTAAATATTTGAATTTGAATTTTTTTGTCGACCTGAAAATTTTGTCGACTTGACAATTTTGTCCACCTTCTTCTAGGTCGATCAAATAGATTTTCCGAGCTCTCCCAAAGTACTAAAAGGACCGTGATTTAACCAAGTTTTCTGCGCCGCAGGCAAAATTTTGAAAAAAAGAGGCCAAAAAGCGTTTTTAGGCACTTTTTGGAAATTTTTGACCAAACAAATGCGGTTTTTCGACGCGCGCTCCCCCTCAAAGTTGGTAAATACTGGCGCCAAAGGCTTCTTTAGAAAAATTTTGGCGTCCGCCAGCCAAAAATGGATATTTCCAAAAAAGTTCAGAGGGGGGATCCTTTGGATCGGCACGGGGGTCGAATCTCTAAGGGAAAGAGCGTCCGTCTCCCCCTAAATCCGCCCCTTCACTAATTAGCTTGTCTCTGTATAGTTTGGTATAATTTTTGAGCCGGATTAATGCGCCGGATTAATTTGTTAATTTTTTTAGGGGCGGGGTTGGGTACAGATGAAATGGGTGTTGAGATGCCGCTCGATCGTTGAAAAAATGTTGGTGTTCAACAGGGGTGGATCTAGAATCCAGGCGAGAGGGGGTTTCGTCATTCATTATTCTTTGACTGACTGACCGACCTTTAAGTTAGTTACTGACACCTTTAAATAAAAATAATGTTTTTTGAGAGTTCAAAAAAAATCAATTTGATCAGCCCAAAATTGCTTTCCCGAATTCTCTCTAAACACACTCCTAAAACTCTACTTTGTAAACTTTTCTCTGAATGAATTTGGGCATTTTGCAAAAAGTTTTGACCAAAAAAACGAGGTAGTCTTAATTATTCCGCCCAAAATCAATTTCAGCAACTTCAATGAAAACTCGAACAGTTGGTGTGCTGCTCGATTCTGATTGGTCCTTTTCGGCCAATCAAATTGAAGCAGCACGCTACACTAAGTCATTAATGTTTAAGCGGATACAAAAACAAGCCGAAATGACCAAAAAAAAACAAGTTTTGTCAAATAATCAAATCAATTTCAAATCACTTATAGAACTTTGCCAGGATAGTAAAAGTTCCGTTGATTGGCTCCAGCAGAATAAAAAAATTTTGTGTAACCCTCAGATTTGTTCGAGGGGACACAAAATGAAAATACAGCTTTCAGAGAAAGATTATAGATCGCGATGTCGAAAAAATGGTTGTAATGAGGCCCATGGTGTGAAAAAAAAATCATTTTTGTGGAAAAAACTAACAAGCCGTTTGATGATCTAATTTTTTTTGATCTATGCCTGGATTTATGAACTCTCAAATGTGAAACTTTGCGAAAAAAAACTCGAAACAAGTGGAAAATCATCCGTCGATTAGAGTTCTTACAAGCGAGAAATTTGTGAGATGGCTCTTTTAGAGCAACCAACGATTGTTGGGAGGAGGGGATAAAAAATTTCGAAATTGATGAAAATTTGTTTTTGCGTCAAAAAAGTAATATTGTCCGGTCTTACCTCGAACAATGGGTTTTTGGGGGTTATCGTCGAGATACTGAGGAAAATTTTTTTTATGCTGTTCCTGATCGCAGCGCTTCAACCCTTGTCACTATTGTTCGTCAATCAATACGCCATCGCACGCTTATTAGCTCAGACGAATGGAAAGCTTATAGAGGTATCATTAATAAACGGTATCA